CGGGTTAATATGTCTTTTACCAAAAATTTAGCTAGAGATTTTTATGTTAGTTCAAGAGAAAACTGTACCGAAAGTTATTATTATCCGCAGTAAATTCGGATTTTCATAAAAAATTTCCAAATAGTAAATAATACATAGTACGCTACTTATCGTTATGGTTTGATTTTATTAGTTTGATGATCACCCTAATGCTACGTATAAAAATGATGCAAAAATTACAACTTTTTCGCACGCTATCACAATTTATTAGATTTGGCCGATTAGATAACAAAATTATTGTGTATATTTCTTATAATAAAATAATCGCTCGTCACGAGTGTCCTATACATTATCGATTATTTCGTTCATGTGAAAACAAAGCGTGCATTCTAAAATCATGTTGTTCTTTGTCATGTGCTTATAAGAAATGCATATACTTATACGGATTTCATATTGACCAATCAAATCGGATAAAGGGTACATTTGCACGTACTAGTACGGCTATCGTTTTATAATATTTTGATTGATAATCAATTTCTAAAGTTGTAGAGAACTAACATCGCAGGGGCAGATAGAACACCCTTATTTTAACGACTAATAGTAACAGGTGATATACAGATTTGGGATGTTATCCTGCTTGCCCGAACTCAGTTAGTGATGTGTGACGCAACTGATGAGACCTGACGAAACCATGACGCAACCTGACGAAACCATATGTTGCGTCACTGACGCATGACGCATGACGCAACTCAAACATATGTTTTTAAGGGTCACGTGAGCAGTTGCGTCAGGTCACGTGAGTTGCGTCACACATCACTAAACTCAGTTCGACCCTGTTTGGAACCGAACCCAATGGAACTCGAGTTTTATCGACCACATGATTTTCATTATATTATATTATGCTCCAAACGAGTTTGAAATAGATCAGATGAGCAATGCTTGATTAGTAATAAACTTTGGACTTTTAATTACTATCGTTATGACGAACGAAAATTACTATCGTTATGACGAACGAAAATTACTATCATTATGACGAACAAAAAATACTATCATTATGGAGAACAAAAATCATTTTTTTTTTTGACTTTTTTTTTTTTTTTTAATTAAAAGTTAATTTAATGTGGCGTGATATGACAAGCGTACCGAACGAAGAAATATTTTCGAAAGCAAAAAATACCATCAACCCAATACATAACAGGTTTTCTGAAGAAAATGCCTCCGCAAGCCTCTGCCTAAAGACCTGGTATGAAGCGGGTATAATTTACTGTAATTAAGGTTAATAATGGGATAAATAAATAACAGCGATAGATGCAATAAATGCAATAACATTATAATGCAAAAATTTATATATTTTTAAATGTAAATTTGATGTATTTGCTTAATAAAAAGTAATAGCGATAACACACGCAAGCATAATTACTAGCGAACTAAGTTCGAAAATCGGTTTTTACGAGCATAATTATTAATACATTGATATGAACTAAGTTCGAAAATCGGTTTTTATGTCATTGATATGAACTAAGTTCGAAATCGGTTTTTATGAAATGTTCCGAACAGTGTTCAAACGGGTTTATAAGCACAAACTAACCGGTTGGAGCAGGATAACATCCCTAATACAGATGGTGTTTATTTAGGCATGTTACAAAAAAAACATATAAAAATCCTGTAGGCAATTTTCCTAAAATCCATACCCCTAATATCACACTTTAACTTAACAATTGTATATAATTTTCTCTTTAGGATTGGTATTTTCGTATTAGGGGCGGATAATTGATTATCTTATCTCGGTTAAGTAAATTTATACAGATTACGCAGTCTGAAGCTTATCAATGTATACTGTTAGATGTTACACGAGCTTCTCTTAATTTAGCGATAAAGTCGCAAATTTTCACCTATAACTATGTATTACTTTATATGTGGTTATTGTCTTCCGGATATCATACTAAATTAATTCTGGTATTTTAGTTGGTCATACAGTAATTTTTAACAATATAATATATACGTACGTATATGCATCCGTATACAAATATATTATGTTCTTTTTTTTCATGTGAACACCAAAATAAGTTTTGATTTTTTTAACAGATTCACAAAGTGAATAAGTAATGTCTATGCCAAATGAGTTGATAAAACAGTTGTAGAATAAAATTTTGTATGTCTATTTTAATTCATGTGTTTAGCATTACGTAAGCCATACATAAGAACGCATACAAAGAACATATTTGATTTACATCAGGTATATTAATATCAAAGTAAAATTTTCCCAAAAACATTTAAAAAAAAAAAACATGGAAGACAAACCTATTCGAATTAATGAAATATCTGATTGCCGACAAAGAGGAATAGTTTGCAAAGGACCTAACTTAGACTCATCTCAATTTTTTAAGCATATTTGCAATACTATTATAAACCATCCGAGTTTAACAATACAAGAAAAAAAATATCTAATAAATGATCTAATAAGAATTAGAGATACACAAAATATAATAGAAGAAACTGGAGAAAAAAGACAATGTGAATATTGCAATAAACAAGTTATAGCAATTACTTACTGCGAAAGTTGTATTCGCAATTATTTGGAAAAGCTTTTTAACAAATGGACTACAAGAAATGACGAACTTGATAAATTAATTCGAGAATGTCAACTTAATGTTGTATCTCCATCACATATAATCGAATGGATTCCTTTTGAAAATTTTAAAAATATTGAATTTAAAGAAGATGGTATTTTTTCTTCGGTATATATTGCAACGTGGAAAAATGGCCCATTTAAAGAATGGGATGCCGAAAAACATGAACTAAAGAGGGGTGGCAATGATACTTATATTCTCAAAAGTTTAAAAAATTCAAAGACAGCGGATGAATTATGGCCCAAAAATGTAGGTATTATTTTTTTTTTTTATGGGAGTAAAGAATATGAAAGAGCAAAGTGTATTATTTTAAAATCGATGTGGTAGAACCGATTTTATTTCTCGAATATTAATCCGACTTTAACCGATTTAATCTATGGAAAATAAAAGCTACTCTAACTATAGTATACTAAGAATAAATGGATCTTGTTTTAATTGTTTGGAAATTTTTAGTTTTCAGTTTTTATGCATAGGCTCTGACTTTTGAAAAAAAAGTGGTCAGATATACGGACAGATTGGCACCGGATGTATAGTACGATAAGAACGTTTTATCGATGAAAAGGACATCTATTCACATCATTCGAAATACGTAGGATGATTCGAATATATGTCGTGCTTGAAACTAGCATCACCCGAAACTGCAATTTTAAGCGTCCGAAGTTGGCCTGACTAAAATTACTGATTTAGGGTGCTTTCAAGCATCTCTTGGTGTAATTAGCTAGTTAGAGAGATCGTGCACAAATATTACGATTAATTGAAGTAAACCTTACAATAATTTTGTCGAAAATTCACATTGCGAAACGCGGATATTAAATCTTAGCCAATCAGCGCAACTCTTTGGTAAAAAAAAATGGTCTCTGACCATTTTATTTTTCATCGCGATAGTGAACTAGCTTGACTGAATAATTTATTTTCCATTAATTAAAAATTGAACTCAGATCTATTGATTTAGATGCTTGAGTGCACCCTTAATTCGTCTAATTTCAGTCAGGTGCAACTTCAGACTGAAGCTGTTACTTCAAACATGACATATACACATAGAATATCGTGTAATCGGCTGCATCAAACATCAAAACACTTGACTAGAACATACCCTAGATCCACTACGATCAAATTAGAATAAAGACTCTTTACGTGCGTCCCGATATGTTATTACTTATAAGCTGACGGAACTGTGTGGAAGAAATGTAGAACCAATACGAGTTGGGCGTTGATATGGATTTTTTAGACAATGTGACTATAGATTGGATCGATTGGCACAGGTTTAGCACCTGAAATTGCACGTAAATTCAAGGTAAATTAGTCGAGGCAGAAACGGTTCTGGGTCCCATAATTTTAAAGTGAATTAGAGTTCTGTGGACTATTAATTATCAGGGTTTTTAAATTCCTTACCCACGATCACAACATATTATTAGACGATTTGTCGTTTCTTGCGTCTAAATGTCTCAAGACCTACAGGATTCTAATTCACTAGAAATGAAGATCATTTTTGCCACAACTAGTTTACCTTAAATTTTCTGCCGTTTAATTTTCGTGAATTAAGAATAAATGAGTCACTTAATTGCACTGAACGTGCTATTCCATGCCAACTCATACCACACTTTTTTCAGACTACGCCATCTTTCAAAATTTACCATATTTAAATGACATGTAAATTTGCTAACGATTAAATAATTAACTTAATGTCTAGGTCATTAA